CTGGAATTTCTGGAAGCTAAAGTCCAAAACATGCGGAGGGCAGAAATTTGCCCATGCCTGTGCTATAGGCTATATTTCAGATGAAGGAATTGGGAAAAAAAAAATTCTTGAGTATTCCTTGCCTAAGAAACCTCGATGAAATTCATATGGGTCACTATAAGTCAACAGCCAACTTCATAGCACAAAGACACACATAAAAGTACTGGCACCAAAAAAAAAGCTGTACAGTCGGTCCTCCATATTCATGGATTTTGTATCCACAGATTCAGTGGTCAAGAGCTAGAAAATAGAGGTGTGTGTGTGTGTGTGTGTGTGTGTTACAAATTCAAAAAGAAAATCCTTTTGTATATAAAGGGACTTGAGCATCCACAGATTCTAGTATTCATGGGAGATCTTGGAACCAAATCCGAACGGATAGCAAGGACCCACTGTACTATTTTACTTATCACCACTTTTATTTGTTGTCAAAGAAGCCGTGAACATTTTAATTCAAGTGATGAAGCACTACATAATCACAAATCATTTTATCTACACTTCTGCTCTAATTCTTTCCAGGGATACACTGGCTTTGATCCTAAATTATTCTTTTCAGTCACTCACAGGGAAGAAATTTCTGCCAACTCTTCTTTCATTTTGCATCATGATCTCCACTATTTCCAAGCTTCCAATAAATTGAAAGGGGGAATAGAACACAGGGAGAAATTAAAGATACCAAATCCCTGTTTCAGAAACACAAACTGTTATATTTACAGAGGAGAAATTAGGAGCAAGGCTTTTAAAAATGACTAAAAAATCTTGGACCATCTTCAACCCTGGCAAATTTACTAGGGAATAATCTTTCATTGGCTAGACTCCACTTTCCTGAATTGATGAAATGTTACACTCATTTGGAAATAATTGTGTGTTTGTGTGTGTATTTGCCTGTGTGTGTATGTTTATGTAGAAAAGGACTGCCAAAAAAAGAGAGTCAACATGGAGGCACAAAACAAAACAAACACAAAGGAGGAATCATACACTTAAAATGGCAAATAAATTCAAAAGCTTTATAAGAGCACCAAGGAAAACACAAGCATTTCAAAATAAAAAGTCAAGTGACAAAGAATGTTCATAATTAAAAGTATTTTAGTTGGGATGATGATGGTGTTCTAGGACTCTGGACAGCTCCTTAACTTTCACAGAAAAAAAGAGTTAACTGAGATGTCCTGAAGTATTTCAGCTTGCACTTTTGATATTATGATAACACAGGAACTGAAAATGCTGGACTAAATTGTCATTTAGTGATGTTTTATACTTATTATCGATGTATTTGGATTGTTGTTTACATGATTATAATATGTTGTAAGCCGCTTTGGGTCACGTGAGGGAGAAAAGCAGGATGTAAATAAAGACCATTATTATTATTATTATTATTATTATTATTATTATTATTATTATTAAATGCAGCATGCATTATGATTTCTATTAATATTGCAGTCATATATCAGCACTTTATCCAGCAGTAGTAAGTAATAAGCCTAGGGGGCAATGGAGGAAAAATGGAACTCCAGCTCCTTCACGATGCTTTGATCAAAAGAAGAGAACTAACTACATTTGACTCTCCACATTTGTAGGAGTAAGGGGGTTAGAAACTGTGAATATCTCCAGGGGCTGGGCAAAGCTTACTTGTATAGCTGGCAAGTGAAAGTATGTTGCTGTACTTCTCCAAAGCCCAGCGCAGCAGAGTACCAGTGACTCCAGTTGCCAAGCATCCTCCACCAAAGTCTATAAACAAGTAGTCTTCAGTGGGAGCTTTAACAACACCTCCCATTTTTCTCCATCCTGAAGTCTGCTGGTTTTTAGACATCAGTGGGAGGTGGCTGATAATGGAAATTGTCATTAAAGCTGCAAATAATCAAAGCTGTGAGTCCAAACCTACAAATGTGGAGACTGATTGTAAAGGTAAGGTGCCATAGTCCATCAATCGTCTAACTATACATGCCCTATTGCTGTGATGCTTTCACTCTATCAAGGGAAAGTATATCAAGGATTTCAGGAATGGCACTGCAAATATTCAGATGTCTAACACCAACTTTTATTTTAGTGACTCCAGATAGCAGATGGTGACAGCTCAATATCTCTCTTCTTTAACACAAAACTGCCTTCAATATGGACTTCTCTTTATCCCTATTTTTTTTAGTAATGCCAGAAATAAGTAATTACCAAACACATCAGACAAACACAACAATTCCAAACTAGGCTGACTTGGCTTTTGAGCCAAAGTCAGCTGTCTTCAAAACAGGTACAATCAAAGATTTTGCTTAAACTCTGATTTCATAATGGCTACTGGTTCCTTGGAGAGGTGATATGGCTAATATAACGGTCAATCCCAAATTAACTTCTATTGTACACAATGTCTAATCAAAAAGCTCATAAAGGACAAATAAAACTATTAACATAAAAAGATAGATTGTATCCATTGTGAATTAATCAGACTTAATTTTAGTGATTCTAATGTGACTTAACTAACTCAACAGCAACCGTGTCAAACTTTTCTACTAATATAAAAATTAAAATACATTTATATAGGGTACAAATAGCCATCAGATATGGATGAGAGCTAAAATCTGAAGAAAGTTTAAAAACTGAACGTTCTTAATGTCTCCCTTAATGGATTTCAGGACATTCTATTTGGTAACTCACTGCATCATCTTATAGGAAGAATACAACAGCATTTGAAGAGCAAAATTATTGGGAAAATTGCACATTTTTTTCCTTTAGTAGGTTAGAGAAATGTTTGAGAAATTATTGTTCTCTCTATTTCCCTAATTATAGTAATGTAATACAGCAGGTATGGCACCTATGGGCTTCCAAACATTTGGCACTACTAAATACCTTCAGTAAATTTCCTTCATTCTTGGCTGTGAAAGCTTGGGCAGCTGGCTTCTAAAAGTTATGTAATATCGAGGTCCATGACTTCTCATAGCTTCACTATGCATTTAAATCCCAAAGTAGTCATACTAGAGTAACCCCAGTGAAATTAATGGGGCTTGAGTTATCTATTCCATTCATTTCAATGGCTCTGCTTTAAGTATGGCTACAAAATCCATTTTAAACACTTTACTTGCACATTTTAAAAATTGTAATCCTAACAGAACAAAGTCATTTTAGAGTGGCATGGTACAATAACTTCCTGCTACCAGAGGAGCTTTTTCTTAGAAGTGATATGAACATGACAGAGGAGCAATAGCTTCCCATTTATACAATTATCTGTAATGAAGAAAACGGAAGGTAAAGGTTCAACTATCACAACAGGACTTTCATCATTTTAAAGAACTTCTATTTTCTCTGAGAAACCTGACTCCTCTCCTAGGTGTTCATTTCAAAATATCCACCAGATGTCACAATTGCTCAGAAAGACATAATATACTATGTCTATTACATATACTACTAAATTCTTCTGGGTGTTTGTACCCTCAATTTGCCTGTCAATGTATGGCAACCCCATGAATTGCACAGGGCTTTCTTAAGAAAGAAATACTTAGACAAGGTCTTGCCAGTTCCATCATTATAAGTAACCATTAGCAATATATTTCAAATAGGAATGAATGAAATGGGTGGCTGCACAGCTTTACTTTTTTGAAATATTACTTTTTCAGTAGCAAGTGATCAAGTGAAAAAGTGTTAAAAGGATACTTTTTTCATTAAAAAAAGTATTGATAAAAATGTGGTAGCATGTCAAAGCACTTTTTAATGCAAACTTGCAAAGTGAAACATTTATTTAATTTAAAAAGAAAGAAAAAACAACCCAAACAACAGAACAAAATATCTCATTAAAAGTATTTTCTCTTATTTGTGTATCCTACTATATGGCAGCTACATACACACAGAAAAAACAAACTTGTTCTTTCCCTAACTTCCCAATTCTTTGTTCACAATGCCCTACTTTCACAACATACATGTCTCCCTATTAAGCCCTTTTCTCTTGTGGTTTAATTCTGTCAAAATCAGCTTTTTGGTCTAAATAACCCACCATGCCTGTTTCCTTTCATTTCCTAGCCTTCTCACGTTTTCTTACCTTGGGTCTAATGTGGCCTTTGCTACCATCTCAGCAGAACAGTGAGATAAAAATTAAATACTTATGTCAGCACATACTACTGCATAAATAATACAGTTGGAAGAGACCACATGGGTCATCAAGTCTAACCCGCTGCCATTTAATTAAAAAAAATTTTAAAAAAGAAAAAAAAAGTCTAACTCGCTGCCATGCAGGAAAAGCACAATGAATGTACCCACAACAGATGGTCGTCCAACCTGTGTAAAAGTCTATAAAGAAGGAGCTGCAACCACACTCTGAGGCGGAGAGTTCCACTGCTGAACAGCTCTCATGATCAAGAAGTTCTTCCTAATATTCCAGTGGAATATCCTTTCCCATAATTTGAACCCATTTTTCCGAGTCCTAGTCTCCAAGACAGCAGAAAACAAGCCTGCCCTCTCTTCCTTATGTCATTCTTTCAAATGTTTAAACATAGCTATCGTGTCTCCTTTTTCACTTCTTCAGGCTAAACATACCCATCTCTTTAAGCTGCTTCTCATTACTCACGTTCAGCTTGTTGTCCACTAAGACTCCAAGATCTTTTTCACATGGACTGTTGTCGAGCCAGACGTTAACTATCCTGTATCTGTTTATTTCGTTTTTCCTGCCTAAAGGAAGTATTCTACATTTTCTTAGTTTTGGCCCAACTCTCTAATCTATTAAGGTCATTTTGAATTCTGATCCCATCTTCTGGAGTATTAGCCATCCCTCCCAATTTGATGGCATCTGCAGACTTGATAAGCATACCCACTAAACCTTCATCCAAGTCATGAATAAAGATGTTGAACAACACTTGGCCCAGGACAGAACCCAAGGTTTGCATACTGAAAGAAAAGGTAGCTCCTGGTCCATTCCATTAATTCTGGCATAGAAACTAGTTTTAAGGAATGGATTTGTATCTTTAAGGAGAAAAATAATGTAAACTCACCTTGCCAGCTATCATTACAAACACACAGCTTCTCTCCAGTTAGATCACAGTAGCCATGGTCAGGGCTTCCACAGTTAGCTTTACAGTACGGAATATCACAGGCTTCTCCTTTCCAGTATTTGTCACACTCGCAATATACTTGACTTGGAATTGAGCTACTTGTTGTACACTTCCCATGCCCTGAGCAGTTATTGGGACATGAATTAATTCTGTAATAAGGAAGATTACAAGGGAAAAAGAATGAACAGTAAATATAAACAAATTGGCATTATCATTTTATCTTTCCATGAAACAGGAGGGGTTACAGTAGATGACAGAACGGCATTATTAAATGAAGGTGTATCCAGAAAGGGGTTTCCATCACATATACATTCATGTCTCCTTACACAAAACATGAGTGACAGCACATGTACACTAACAACATAACGTGGTTGAAAGATTCTCAGAAATGTGGTGTTGAAATTATGCATGGTGTAAATATGTGCAAGAAAACACTTTAAAGGTCTTAAACTGGGATAAGCAAAATCACAATAATGTGCCTTCCAGCATATCTCCTTAAACTGTGGTTTTCGCTCCAAATAAGGTTCCTTCAACTCAATGTTGGAGGTCACAAAAATATTGGCAACAGTAAAAGTTTTCTGAATGTTACTTAGTAGCTATTTTAGACATTTACACAAACGTGATGTGCAGTATTTATACTGGATTCTGTAGAAGATGTTCTAGCTGTACTTCATAAAAAGGGAAATCAACCTACTTAGTAAGCTTTGCAAATGCTGGTTTCTTATCAGTAATTATTTTGATTTTATACCTCTTTTATATATCTATATACCCAGGGGTCAGATAAACAATTACCAGGCTAAAAGAGGTCCCAAGTGAAAAAGGTTTTTTTGAAAATGCCTTAGAGGACTTATATTAGGATAAGCAAAATCAGATGATACCCCCCCCCCCCCCAAAAAAAGGCCTCATAATGTGCAGTAGCACACATAGGTGTAAACCATATCACATGGTAAAACTGATTAAGGGATGAGTTCTCGAATAATTTGCATGTATGCATTTGGACCAGGAGTGTTCGGGGGGGGGGGGATCCTCTACAGCCCTAAAGTCATAGATATTGCAGATCCTGGAGCAGGATCTGAGTCAATTCTCCAATGCATGAAAGTATACCAGGACTCAAACCGGTTCATGCACTTGATGTATGATCAGCTACATATTCACTTCCACCTCTGCCATTTTTGTCGTACATTATTTGGACAGTATAGCTGTACCACTGTTTCATGAAAAATGGTGTGAATTGTTCATGCATATTAACTACCTAATTCCTTATTTGGCATAATCTGCCTTTGACGATCCTAGAAAGCAGCCCTGTTCCAAAAAACTGTTCCAGGCTAAACAGAATCTCAATGTCCTCCACACACACACATACACCCCTAGTTGCTAAAGAGCAAGGTCTACAAATATTCCTGTTTCATGTATCAGCACGTATTAGATCTTTTCTTTGTCTTGTTTGAGAGCACTCTCTTACAATAGATTTATTCTACAGCTTCACAAAGCAACACATCAGACAAAGGAAAGCACCATTTATGCTAATCATTGTTCCTGAAAGGACTCTTTTAACTGTTTGCTACATTTCTTGTCATAAGCATCATTTTCAACATACTGCGTGGGTTCTAAAACATCCTTTAGTTGTCAGAAATCCTAATTTGCATAAGGCTATTTCAAATAATTTTAAATCCTAAATCTTATTAACTATGAAAACTATGTATCTTCTGATTAATAAACATAAATATGACTGGTTAACAAATACTTACGAGTAGAAAATATTAAATCCTGTTAAATTATAAGCAGCATCACTAAAAAAGTGTAGCAATGCATAGCCAGATGTAGTAACTACTTCAGGTACAGTTTCATTTCCACGTACTTCAGGAACTATAAGACCACTGCAAGAGATTAAACATGAAATATTCATATTATCAATAACATTGGCAATAAAAAGCTAGCCATCTGAAGAAATGTAAGTGTTCAATGTAATTAGGAAACATATTAAAACTTTATTCCATTGCACTGATTGAGTACAGAAATTCATGACTATTGAATGAGACAAGATTTTGTAATAGCTATAACTTCAAAGATTTGTCATATTCCTATTCAGTGCATTTTAAATATCAGAAGTGCTCAAAACATTTCTAAATGCAGCATAGTCTAAAAGAATTGCATTTTGATATCAAGCAGTATCTGGAAATCCAAATTAATGCAAAATGAAACAAAATGACAACATTCATATTGGTGGAAAACATAAAGGAACTCCTTGGGCCTTCCACACAGCCATATAATCCAGAATATCAAGGCAGAAAATCCACAATATCTGCTTTGAACTGGGTTTTCTGAGTTCACACTGCCATACAACCCAGTTCAAAGCAGAGAATGTGCGCTTTTATACAGCTGTGTGGAAGGGGCCTTAGATGTATATCCTTCATTTCAGGAGGCATGTGTACATTGACCAGGTCTCTTTTGTGGCTGCATGTCACAAAAATAACTCCACATCAGGTCTGCCCCCCCCCCCAAAAAAAAGAGAGCTTTTAAACATGGTAAAACTTCCCTTTCCAACTACCAAATAGTTATTGGACAACAGAGTCAAATCTATTTAGTTAGAGTCAAATCTAAGATAAATAATCTCCAAAACAGCTCTCAGGTTTCTGTTGACTGCTGTCAAGTCAATTGATTTATGGTGACTCTATGAATGAGAGACCTCAATGTCACCCTACCATCAACAGCCCTACTAATATCTTACAAACATAAGGTTGTGGCTTCCTTGATTTAGTCAGCCAGTCTGTAGTATAATCTTCCTCTTTTGGAAAGTAGTGCTTTCTACCTTACCAAATATTATTGTCTTTTCTAGTAACTCATGTCTTCTCATGATATGTCCAAAGCACGACAGTCTCAACTTGGTCAACTTGGCTTCTAGGGGGAGTCCAGACTTGATTTGTTCTAGGACTCATTTGTCTTTTTGATACCCTGTGGCATCAGCAGAACTCCTCTCCAACAGCACATTATAAATGAGATTATTATCTTCTTATTAGTTCTTTCTTTGCCCAGTTATCACAACCATACATAGAAACTAGAAACACAATGGCAAAGCCAATTCTGATTTCAACAATATATCTCTACATTTGAGGATCTTGTCTTGTTCCATCATGCTGCCCTTCCAAGTCCTAACCTTCTTCTAATTTCTTAACTACTGTTTCCATTTTGATTGATGAAGGAGTTGAAGTATAGGAAATTTTTGACTATTTCAATGTTTTTTGCTGTTCTATTTTCTTGACTGCAGTCTTCTGATTCTTGACTGCATGGTGCATTTTGACTGATGATGGAGCCAATCTATAGGAAATCTTTGACTATTTCAATGTCTTCACTATCAACATCTGATTTCTTGGCTGCAATCTCAATTTTGATTGATGACTGAACCAAGGTATTGAAAATCCTTAACTATTTCATTGTGTTCACTGTCTACTTTAAAGTTCCCTAAAACCGGTTTACTTTTTACCAATCAGAATATATGCTAGAAAAGGGTAGAAGAAAAAACTTGAAGTAGAAACTCACTGAAATGACTAGTAAGAGGTATAGAAAATGAGCCTGTGATTGTAATTATTGAACAGAAATGTACTGACAAGAGAGTGATACTGACAAGAGAGTGTTAAAATAGGACAGAGCATGAACACAGCATCCTCCAAACTATGAAGAATGTTCCTTCCTACAGAAACTTGCATTCTTGTTATCTATTCATTAAAATGCCCTGCTCTTACGTGAACCCAATAAAAGTATAGTAGTAGTTTTCATAATTCTAATAAGGAAGCAAATAGAGCTTGACGAGATGCACAGGGAAGTTAAATATGGTAAACTAAGTTCACTGAGGAAATGACCCAAAACCAATATGAAGGAAAGCAGGGAAGGGAAAGCTACGATACTCCAAAAAAACAAACAATTTGAAGTAAAAACATCTTTCATCATTGGCCAGGTAGGTTAAGGCTAAGAGGAACTGTTGTCCAACAATATTTGGAGCTTCTATTATGAAGGACATAGAAAGATCTAAAATATGTTAACAGAAAATAAAGCCAGAGGAAGGGATGAACATTTAAGCCTTCTAATATTAAACTGTCTTATCAGGACACAAATATTTTCCCATATTTGTAATTAGAAGCTATTAAACTGAAATACTCACCTAAATACAGCTATTAAAGGTGCATATATTGAATCTCCATCGTAAACATACATATGGTCCCAGCTACATTCTGTAGCAAAGTGATTGAATCTTAATCTTAAAACTGAATTAGGACTAGAAGAAAAAATGGAAAAAAAGAAAAACGTTGAAAGTGAATTTTTCACAAACAGCATACCTTCTAATGGAATATATTAAAGTGCATTTTATTGTTAATAATCATTATTAATCTATTGAAATACGATTCTGTATGAATATATTTCTACAATTTTAGTGTATTACATATATGCAGTTATTTAAAAGCGAGCACATATTTCATTTGAAGTCATAAGTAATCTGAGAAAATTTATTTATTTAATGGAAAATTATAGAATTAAGACACAGACAATTTCCCTCCAATATCACCCTGGGAACAATCTATGTGTCCATGCTCGCATCCTACCACTCCCTTTCTCCTTTTCCTGTAATGCAGCTGGCTTTTACTAAGAACACTTTATCTTCAAGGACAGTAATATCATAATATCTATATTTTAAAATATAACTGCACACAGGACTTACATCAGCATTGGAAACCTTGGCCAGCTGCCAGGACTAAGAATCTTTTGACTTTGATGCATGTTTGACCCTCCTACCCTTGGGTTGGCATGGCAACTACAGCTATGTCTGGAAAAATGCCCATTATGTTAAAATTTGCCAGTGTCCTAAAGCACCCAATAAAGTATCTATGTGTTTGCATGGCTAAATTTTGAACATGATAGATGGTTTCTTAAAATATAGCTACTACTGTCAGGTATGACCACAGCTGCTAGGACTACTCTGCCAGGAGCATATTTGTTTGTTTGCTTATTATTTTGGACTGGGATCAATAATTTATTAGTGAATAGTATCTCAAATTAAGAACAGAATTAGAAAATTTCCAAAGACTAATGTAGGGCTTTCAATCTGTTGGTCCATTCAACATTTAGGTTCAAGCAATCATTGCCAAAGCCAGTCATGCATCTCTGACCAGGAGTAGATTCAACCTTTGAACTAGTTCTTGGACTCCAAGTAATGTACATTCAATCTTTCTGGTCCAATATGCATTTCAGAAATTCATCAGGAAATGGTCAAATCTCTGCTGGGGCCAACAACATTAATATATGTTTATCATGGAGATAGGCTATGTAGAATCAACAGGATTCTTCACATAAGACTATGATCTAAAGTTGCTAATATACATTAAATATTAATGCAAAACTGGTCAAAGGACATTTAATCAACTACCAAGCTTGCAAACATTGTGTTTTGTTTGTTTGTTTGTTAAAAAAATGCAATGCAACTGTTTGGTCTGCCCCTGACATGATAGATAAATAAATAAATAAATAAATGCAAAACAAGTACTTACTATCCTTCAATTAACCATGTACATTTAGTTTTATATTTATAATTTATTGGTCCATCTGTTAAATATCCAGAAGGTTCAGTTAACCTAAAAAAGAATAAACCAGAAATAATTAACCCAACAAGTCAATTTTACAAACTGATACAAAAACACAGCCTATATATTATTGACTTGTTAATATTGTTTGCCTGAAAAGGCTTGCAAATATAATAATAAATCCATAGACCTCTACCCAATGTTACTGATACAGATTATCCATTGTTTTTGGTGGACACAAGGAAGGGAGGGAGGGCAAATAGGCAGGCAGGCAGGCATGGAAATTCACAATTGAGAGCCAACACAGAATAAATCTAATCCCAAAACCATATTACATCCATCTCAAAAGGAATTCAGAGAATAAATGGAAATTATATATGCAACATGTTCCCAAATATGCTCAGGAGCCCTGCCTTAACTGCAACAGAAAACTGTTGAAAATTCAAGAGCACTAAATAAACATTTCAGCTCCTCACACCATTCTAAACAAGCTGATACTTCCAAACAATTTTCAAAAGAATAAAACATCTTGTAGTAATTGATCTAACACAGCCTGGGGGTCGGGACCCCTGGGAGGGGAGGGGTCATGAGGGGGATGTCAGAAGGGTCACCAAAAACCATCAGAAAACACATATTTCTGATGATTTTAGGAACACAGTGCTCTCCAGAGGTAGGTGAACTGTTGGTCATGGGGGATTTGTGTTGGTCATGGGGGTTTTGTGTGGGAAGTTTGGCCCAATTCTATCATTGGTGGGATTCAAGGGACTCTTTGATTGTAGGTGAACTATAAATCCCAGCAACTACAACTCCCAAATGCCAAGGTCTATTTTCCCCAAACTCTACCAGTATCCAAATTTGGTCATTTTGAATATTCATGCCAAGCTTGGTCCTGATCCATCATTGTTTGAGTCCACAGTGTGCTCTGGATGTAGATGAACTACAACTCCAAAACGTAAGGTCAATGCCCACCAAATCCTTCCAGTATTTTCTCTTGGTCATGGAGGCAATGTGTTCCAAGTCTGGTTCAACTCCATCATTGGTGGAGTTCAGAATGCTCTTTGATTGTAGGTGAACTATAAATCCCAGCATCTACAACTCTCAAATGACAAAATCAGTCCTCCCCCACCCGGCAATCCCACCAGTATTCAAATTTAGGCATATCAGGTATTTATGGCAAATTTGGTCCAGTGAATGAAAATACAACTTGCACCCTGTATATCAGATATTTACTGTTATGATTCATAACAGTTATGAAATAGCAACAAAAATAATTTTATGGTTGGGGGTCACCACAACATGAGGAACTGTATTAAGGGGTTGCAGCATTAGGAAGGTTGAGAACCACTGGTCTAACACGTAAATGAAAGTATATTGTCGATATATTGCTTGCAACTTAGACAATGCTACAGACTTGAGTTGAAGCAAATTATCTCACAGAAATTGTGTACATGCTGCCCAGTCTCTACTGCCCATATACAAAATTAGTTGCTCCTCCAGCTGTAGGTAGCATGATGTACGTTTCAGATATCTACCCATATAGAACAGTAATGGAAGCTAGAAGATGGGTTTGATGCTGTAGGAAAAAAAGTTGCTACATAAGCCAAAGTATTGCGGAACACTGGCAATAGGTATCACATCGTAACGGGTACTGTGTTCATTCATTAAGACATCCAAGCAAATACAAAGGTACTGATTGGACTCAATTTTTAAGTGTGCCTTTTCCACAGATTTCAAGAAAAGAAAACTGGAAACCTGTTTTCCCCACTGAACATATTTATCACTTATGTTTACTTTTACACATTCATGTTTTGTATATCTATGAATGTTTTGTATATCCATAACTGGACTATGTTCATGATGTAAAAGGAAGTGGAGAGGAAAGCACACAGGAAGTGGATAGAAAAGTCTGAAATAGCTCCTGCACTAATAATAGTATCAAAAGCAACTGGAATAAGCCTATACAGATGATGATGTGTTCTCCTTCTAGTGCTTCCACTACTCAACCATATTTTATAGTGCCAATGAAAAAAGCCCAATGGAAGCACAATGGGATTAGTTAATATAAGAGGAAGGCAGAGTACACTGGCAGAAGATGAACCCAATATCTACAATTTCTCAGGTGTCTTCTTTGCCAATGAGTATTGTCCATTTCCTGTTACTTTGAATATTCATGATGTTCCAGGCAGAAACTGACAGAGCACGTGAGCAGACAAAGCTCACCTGCTCACGCCTGAAAAATGAATAGGTCTGCTTCTACAAGCAATATTCCATTTAGTTTAATAATGCAATTTGCACATATCTACTAAGAAGTATTCCCCAATATATCAGTAGGACTTACACTCCTGGAAAATGTGTATGGGACTGGTCTAAATGAGACATAGTAATAGGCTGCTGAAAATTCATCACTTTCTTTATGACAATCATTGGGGTTTGTACCCCCCCCCCCCCCCCAAAAAAAAATAACCAATTTCATTCCATTTATCTCTTTGCGCTACAAATGTATATAACCCCCTGCTGTGCCAGTTCCACTGGCTGCCAGTCTGCTTCCAAGCACAATTCAAAGTGCTGGCTTTAGCCCTAAATGGTTCTGGCACAGTTCACCTGTCCGAACATATTTCCCTCTATGAACCATCTCAAAGGTTAAGATCTTCTGGGGAGACCCTGCTCTCGATCCCACCTCCTTTGCAGGCGCAATTGCTGGGGACGAGTGACAAGGCCTTCTCAGTGGTAGCCCCTTGTCTATGGGACTCCCTTCCCAGTGAAATTAGATTAACTCCATCCCTCCTGTTCTTCAGAAAGAAAGTGAAGACATAGTTGTGGAATCAAGCCTTCAGACAGTAATCTGCAATGCAATAAGTAACTATGGGATAGTGTAATTTATGGAACGGCTCCTGGAATATGTCTTTGGACTGCATGGTTTTTAATGTAATTTATTTTAAGGATCATGTGTTTTAATTATTAATTTTAATGTATATGTTTTATTTTACCTTATGTATGCAAATGTGGCATAAATTCGTGCCTTTTTTGTAAGCCACCCTAATCCCCTTCGGGGTGAGGACGGGATATAAATGCAGTGAATAAATAAATAAACATTATTCTTCCATATCCTCAATTTTGTTCTTATAACCATTTATTTATTTATTATTTATTTGCTTTACTTCTATACCGCCTTTCTCAGCCGAAATGGCGACTCATCCAACCATCCTGTTGGATAAGTTAGGCTAAGAAGCTGTGAATGGCTCATGGTAACTGAATTAGCTTTATGGGGAAGATGGGACTGGAACCTTACAACCTGTAATTTATAGAATCCTAGGATTGTAGAGTTGAAAGATATACCTAAAATTAATGCAATCCAAGACCCTGTAACTGCATGAATCCATGACTATGATGTGGCTCATTTTGTCTTGCATACTGCAACTCAAACAGGCTATGTGGGACTCAAAAAATGTTTAAATGAAAAAATTATAATGAAATATGTTCTTCTGCAAGATGATCACTGAATCATCTTTGTGGATTCAGTAATCATCTGGATAAAGTCAAGTTAGAATGTTACTTAAAGTGTGGATCTGAGTGTAAATGTCGTTGGACCTTAGCATCTGCTCTTTTACGGCATGCCAAATATTTTGTAGAAAAAGATTTTTTTCAATTCTGTATTTTGCAAACAGAATGATGAAAGAAACTCTGAATTATGTAATTCTAACCCAATCTGATATTGCAGTTAGTTTGAATTCTAATGATAGTTCTGAAACATTTTTGCTATAATTAAAATGGAATGAAGATTCATGTTGACCCTCTACCCAAATATGAAATTTTCAAATAGTTGGTGCATCATATAATTTCTGCTCAAGGAATGTCATATAAAATCTTGATTTTTCAGAAAAATCACATTGCTGAATTAGCCTTTATTTGGTGATTATGGAGAACACACCATATTAATAGCTGATTGTCCCTTATTACCTTGCCAGTAAACTGTAACAATGAAAAACAAACTATGAAAGGAAAAAAATATCCATGATTTTTTCAGAACAGTATATTTTCCTTCATCATCCCTCCCCCCACCCCACAAAAAATCCCTACCCAAAATTATTTATAGCAACCAATACTAATTTGAAACCTTCCTTCCTTGACAATGAATAGTGTTTGCTAACTTAAAATCATAGAGTTGGAAGAGACCACATGGGCCATCCAATTCAACCCCCTGACATGTAGGAAAAGCACAATCAAAGCACCTGTGACAGATGGCCATCTAGCCTCTGTTTAAAAGCTTCCAAGGAAGGAACTTCCACCACACCCTGAGCCAGAGAGTTTCACTGCTGAACAGCTCTTAACTTGCACTACAGTAAGTATTTTTAAGAGGAAAGACAGTATATTTCAAAGAATTGTTTCTTTCCTTATGAAGAAAAGACTACTTCATCACTTTAGCAAGTTTGGTGGATTGTTCCGTTAATTCTGCAAATCTAAATGTTTACAGCAGAAATATTCCACATTAACAACTAAGTAAAGATTTCACCAGTACATAGTGAATTGTTCCCTGAACTTTTTGGCTGTATTATATTAATGAAGTTTCACTTAGCCACAGTGCTGAAGACCTAAACCATCTTCCTAATTTGTAAATTAAGCATACTGCTCCATTCATTAAGTATGCAGACTTTCTGCATGATTCATGAAACTGGCAATTCATATAATTGCACAATTGGAGGCAACATCTCTGCCTAATTCATTTAATATGCAGTGTTTCATCACTGCATGAGAAAACTTCCATGAAGTTAATCAAGAGTTACTAATATCATAAATTAGTCAATGTCTCTGGCCAGGTTATCAAATTTCTTTAAATTTTAAAACATTTACCAGGGACTTGATCAGCTTTTAATTAGAAGTTGTTTAAAGCATTTAACATAATCATTATAATGATAAATTGATTAATCGAACAAGCGAGATTCACAGAAAAATTCCTCATACATATATAGACACACACATGCACATGTATCCAAACCTCCTATGTCACAATTGTCCAGTTCCAAGAAAACTGACCCTTTAAAATCTCCCTTTCA